TTCTGACAAATCTGAATTACTGGCTCAATGTTATTCCTTGCAAGAAGAATCAATAAAAACAGCAGTTCTCTCTAGTTCAAGTTATTTGCTCTTCAACATCTCTACAATTTCCAGATTTTCAAATATTGGGAAAAATAGAGGTAAAGAAGGGGTGCTTCTGAGAAATTAGCAGTAATGTGTCATCTTCACTCTTTGAGACAATGGCCTTGATGTGCTGATGAGCAGAACGATCTACCAAGTTAACTACTGAATGAACCAGGGACAGGGTGGCTTTCCAACAAAGCGGCTGTCTATAGTTCATATATTGATTGCATCCCCCAGATGTCTCATATTTCTATATAAAGGCACCATGAGCTAAAGTGGATTTGGTTGATTCTCACAATCAGGCCAGCTTTCCAAACCTGAGGCACAATTTTCATGCTTCTTGGAGAAAACAGGGATACATTACCATTTGTTATAAGATGCTTTTAACTCTGTTAAGCAATACCTCCTTGCATGTGTTGGTTCAGCACAGAAGCAGTGTCTGGAGCTGCTCCTGGGCGGTTGTTCTGGGAGTCCCAGCTCCTGTTCAGTGAGTGGGGCCGTCTCTTCTGGACCACACCTTTCCAATGCCACTCTTTGGTCTTCCTCATCAGTGGTCCTAGATTAGAAATTATTTTCTAAATGGGCAAAACTCATTTAGGTCATCTCTCCCAGCACCCAAAACACCATTTTCCAGGCTTCTATTGCAGACCCGAAAGGACAAAATTCTGATCAGTAAGACTAATTTATTGTGGGGGGAAGAACAGCTGACATAGAAAAACAACAATATACATTTTCCAGAGCTAAAGGGATTCCAGGAGGAGGTTGTTTGCTTTCTTCAGTCCCTGGTTTCTTACCATTCAAACGCTATTGAGGTTTTAATGCTGCTTTGCTCTGTTATATTTAGCAGTTTCCAGCCATGACTTTTCCTAGAGCCAACCAAAGTCACTCCCAACCTTCAGAAATTTAAAAAAAGACTCCAAACGAATGAAGCTGTGATACCATTTTGGCTGTCTGGTGTTATATACACATGGATCTGATCCCTTTCATCAGAAATTGGCTGTGGTCTGCACCATTTCCATGGAAAGCTTCCTGCATTTATTTGAAAGTCCATAGGATGTCAGTAAATTTTCCAGAGATTTAAGTAACGCTCTGCTTGGTGCAGCTGTGTAAGGCAGCAGTACAGTCCGATGGTGAGGAGGGTCTTCCCTGAAGATGTGTTTTCATTTCTGCCATGGTGCTGCTAAGGAGTCTCAAACTGGAGACTGTGTCTTTCCATACCTCTGCTCCCCTCACGTACCACATCTTCAGGCTTTGCTGTCTGGTTTTTGGGCTTTAGGTGTTAGTTTCTTGTGGGGTTTGTACAGGACCTAGCACACTGGGATCCCTGTCTCACTTGGTTTCTTTTAGGCATTACTATAATATGAACCAGCAGCACTCATATTTTAGCTGTAGGGAGAAATGTACTGGTTTGATGTGTGTTGTGTAGAATAAAGAGAAAGCTACTGCCCCTAGCCCAAAAATGTGAGTAGCATAGCAAATACTTTAGTGATCTCCCAGAAATGTTAAATGAGTTGGATTCTGCCACAGCCTTCATATCACAGTGGGTTTTTGAGAGATTCACCTGTCTCAGTGTAGCTTCAGACTGACATGTTCAGGAATGCTGGTGAGCCCTGAAAATAAGCCTAAGTCCTAGGGCTGAGTTTTAGAGCATGATTTTTCAAGAGGGCATGTTATAAAAGGAGAGGATAAATGGGTTGAAACAGCTATAAGAGCCAAAGCACTGCAACTTCTTGGCAGGGCTTTATAGAAAGGCCAGAGAGATGCTTTAAAAGAGTAAATAACCTGCAGAATAAACTGACTAGCGCAGCACGGGTTAAAGCAGTCTCGGCAGGAAGGGAGCAGCAGTCTCCAGGATTTTAAGGCTTTCCTCCACACTGAGATCCTTCCGCTGTCTCGTGCCTTTGCGTGAGTGTCTGCAGTGATGGTGCAGTACGGAAGCGCAGGTGATCTCTACGCTGGGCGCTGGAGCCGGCGTGGTGGTGGCAGCCGGGGCGAGGAAGCGTGATCTCTGCCTGACCTTGGCACTGCAGCTGGCCAGGGAGACGGGCCAGAGCCACCCTTCACGGCTTGTCAGAAATACTGTGGTACCGGGCTGCACAGGGAGAAGCGGGCTCCACAGCTCTGATTTTAAGAGCATCCTTTTGCCAGCCAGCGTAAACCCCATTGCAAACTCCGAGGTTGAATCCTTTCCCTTGGAAGGCAAACACGAGAGTGAGGAGTGCCCTGACCTGTCTGGAAGAGCCCTGAAATGCAAATAGCATGAGAAGTTAGATAGCTGCGTGCAGAAACAGGTTTATAAATGCCAGTGAGTTGCAGGGGAGAATATATCTAATACGCTGGAGTTAGAGCTGTCTTCATGCTCACCCTGTTCAACATTTCCAGGATGCTTCATGTGGGCCCAGTCCTTCAGTTCTCTCCTAAATTTTTCTTGGCCGAGGCTGTCAGTGGGATTATTTCTTCCCTTGGTTCTAATGGCCTGTCTGTCAGGTCCAGGCTGTTTGTCTCGACCTCCCTGTGGAAACGGGGTCACAAAGCCCCATTGCAGTGGAGCTGCAGGACAGTGCTGCCCTTCCAGATGTTCCCATAGGTCTCCTGAGCACTGCAAGGCTGGGGCAGTATGAGAACATGCATCACCTGCCCGGTACGTGGCCGAGGGCTGGAAGACCACGTGTACTGTCTGCAGGGAATGCAAGCAGCTAGGAAGGGTACCCAAGGTTTCCATGTCTGAGTTTCCCCAGTTCTCTGGAGTGAGCTCCTTGGGCCAGGGCAGCCCTTTGTGGGTTTCCAGGACCTCCTGTGTTAGGGGGTTCTTCCCACCCTCTCTTGGCCTGGGACATACAGGTACAGATATGATCTTCCTTTAACTTTTACTTACACTGTGAAGTAGTGACTGTCTCTTCTACCCAGAGGGACAGGTGTGGATAAACTGATTTCTCGTGGAGAGCACTATATTGGTTGCTCAGACTACAGGTATGAGAAGCAACCATACTCGCTTCATTTTTTGGTCTGGGAAACACAGCAGTGAGAGCATCTGTGGGTTTCCAGGTACAGTGATGCTTTCTATGCCAGTCACACTGGAATTCAAGGGTTTGAGTTGTGCAGTTTTTAGGGATATTTTTGGTGGTAGATGAAAGAAGGCATTAACCTTGTATTCACCAGCTCATGGACCCAGTGCTCTTAACCAAAACCACTTTTGGACTTCACATCTTCTAACAGCTCTAAATTGCAGTTCCCTTTTGCCTGCATAACTGCCGGCATCCCGCCAGCCTCAGCCTTGGCTGCTTCTCCTCCGTGGTGGGGCCCATCTGCCTGGCATGGCCCGGGCAGCCAGCTGGCAGAGGGGGAGCCAGCCCTGGGGAGTGCAGGGGAGCCGCGAGCACTACAGCCCCTGCGCCATGCTGGTGGCGCCGCTGGACCCAGACCCTGCCACTGCTCATGGGCACCTGCCTCTCTGCTGGTGAGCACACCTCTTCCAGCTGCCTTCTGCTCAGCTAATGTCTGAAACGTGAGGTTTTAAAGGAGAATTTCAGTGTGGCTCCCGCAAGAGGGCACTGGAACAGCTGTGAGATGTAGCAATCACATGTGAACATAAAAAGTGCCCAGCTGGCCCTTACCCGTGGTCCATCCAGCCCAGAAGAGCATCTCTGACCGCCGTGATGGAAGATGCTCGTTTGGGTGGTCCCACAAACTTGACCACACTCCTCAGCACTCTCCCAGCAGCCAGAGATGCTGGAGGATGTATCCCTGCACCCCCGCCCCCGACCAGGTACAATTACGGAGCTGTTGTTTGTTAATTCATCAAACCTATTTTTGAACCAGTGCTGTGTCTTCTGCCAGGCCCTGGGATGGCAAGTTTCAGCAGTTCACTCCTGCTGTGGGCAGAGGTGCTTTTTACAGTATATGGATGGAGTATTTTCAATAAAAGATGTTTGGGAACGGGATCTTCTGGGGTCTCTTACCAGCAATGACCAGCAATTCAGGATGGAGTTGCTCAGTCTCTGCTCTGGTTTGCATGAAAAAAACCCACATAAAGTTCTAGCACGTCTTTAATGAAAATGAAATGATAAAATTGGGATAATACCTACCTCCTGCTGCTCTTGAGGGTCAATTAATGTTTACAAAATCACTTTAGGTCCTGAGATTTAATTGAAGGAAAAATATTACCATATAAAATGCTTTTTTATGCAGGCACTGCTATAGGGTTTCAGCTGGGCAGGGTGCTGTGGAAGTCAGCATTAGTACATGCTTTACTACTTTTATGGTCGTGAGGCTTCCTGTAGTTTATATGAAAATTGTCTCTCTGAAATCACAAATGTAACATCAGTGTTTTCCTCTCACTTTGAAAGAATATTAATTTGCTATCTTAGGACTTCACTGACTATTTAAACTGCTATAAATACAATTCACCTCTGAGAAAAAAGTACAAAATGAAATATCTGTTCACTTGCTTGGGATGAGCTGATACAACTTGCTAATGACTCCACCATTGGAGTCATATGGACATTGCCAGCTCATACAAGTAATAAATTAGGCTAGTACTGGGTGTCCTGCTGTAGTTTAAGGGTGTATCTGTGTGTTCTTTATAGTCTGCTGCTATCAAGAGATTTAAAATGCAGCTATAAAGCTTCATTTCTGGAGTTAAATTTAACTGTGGAGGTGTCAGCCAGGGAGCACGCTCTGTTGAGTGGGTTTTCTTGTGGGGTGGTTTTTGTTTTTTGAAAGAGAGTGCTGCAAGAGAGGGAGAAGCAATACTGGCTTTGGCTGGCTTCAACTGTTGGAATAAAACATTACCACTGCGTAAGTGTCCCTTTTTCTGCTGCAACATTTTTTGTCTTCATACAAAGAGTGGTACAGGTTGGGTGGACTTGGAGGTTGAATCAATTACTCAATCTGCTTCTGTTGTTTCTGCCATGCAGGGTGACTACGACCCCAGCAGAACCAAAGTTCTGCATTTCAGTATGAACCCAGCGAGCTTGGCCAAGCAGCAGCGCAAGGAGGAGCAGCAGCAGCTCCAGGAGGAGTGTGAAAGGCTGAGGGAGCTGGTGAGGGTGCTCGAAGGAGGCGGCTCCATCCCTGGGAATTTGGAAGGAGTTGGGAGTTTTCAGTCACAACAAGAAATAGCAGGTAGGCTGCTGGCTTCTGGTCATGAAGATGCACTTACTCATCTGTACTGCCAGAGAAACTGACTGCAGAAGCAGATGGAGACGTTGCAGACAATGTGCTTGATGAAAAAATCTAGGTTGATGCAGGAGAGAGTGAATGTGTGGTGGCAATCCTGTGGCAGTTTGGTACAGAGGGTAGGTAGTAAAGATAAATTATAATAATCCATATCATTTGCTCATGATAAATGAAATGCCAATACAGCAGCCTTCATAGGCTGGTTGCTGCCAATGGAGTAAAAGGAAATATTTCCTTCCTTTCAGGGCTGGTTTAGCCCTTGAGGTAGTACAGACAGCAGGAAATAACTTTCATAGCTGCAGGGAAGCAAGTGGTTGAAATCTTTTCAGACCTGGCTTAAAACAAATTAATATTGTTTATCAGTGTATATGTGCCCCATTAATCACAGCTACATTCAATACTCCATGAAAATAGAGTACATCTTTCACTGAGCTAAATACATTTCACAGAATCTGTGGCTCTCCTCCAGCACAGTCTGTCTTCCCTTCACATACCTGAACGAGACTTTTTAGTAAGTAACCCCAAAGTCAGCACCTCCAGACATGCTCTCAGACTCTGTAAATCAAGGTAAGGATATCAATAAAATGCGACCTATCACCTACAGCACTGCAAGGGGACCAGGCAGAGTCGAGTCATGCTGCAGAGCCCAAGAGATCTATCTTACTGCTGTAACTCTCTCACATCTACCTTGCCCTCAAAACATTTTTGTTAGGGAAGAGAAAAATAAGAGAGCTGTGAGTCCATGTGGAGCTAACCTGTTGTGTTCTAGCAGCATGTATGGGGTCAGTGTCTAGAGGTCAGGATCCTCCCTCGAATGAGGCTAAGAAGGCAGAGCTTTCCTCGAAGTCCATGTGTGCTGAAGACTTGCGACCCACAAAATGGCAGAGCCCTGGTTTAAAGAAAATACACAGAGGAAAATATCTTTCATTGTTATGACACCAAAATCCTCTGAAAGTAGCTTGCTTGTTTTCCCATTGCTCAAACAATAGTACTTTATTACTGCTAAGAACATGTTTGTTCTGGCATCTCATAGTGTATTATGGTACTATATGGCCTTAAAACGATGACGGTGAGAAGTGTAGATGGGGTGGTTTATAAAGTGAAGAGCTGACTGGATGTTAGAGGTACAACGGCAGTTTGTCACTGTTGTTCGTGGATGCCCTAACAAATACATAAGCATTAAACACTTCCTGAACCTTTAAGGAAGGCTGCCTTTGCCCGCAGGAGCTTCCAGTCTGAGACTCCGGTGAGACTCGACCAGTTCTCAGCAATAGTTCTTGCACTGCAATTTGAATTTGAAACACATTAGTTTTTAAATGGCAGCAGATGCTGCTGCCCAGTGCCCTTGCCTGTCGTTATGCCCCCGAGTACCCGGCACATCTAAAGCTGCAGATCCACGGGGCTGGCAGTGCTGGTCAGGGGCAGAGGGGATGCAGAGATGAGGGCAACTCTGTGTCTCTGCTGTTGATGAATGAACCTCTGGGGTATCATCTACAGTAATTAGACCATTTCTTCTGGGGGAATGTGTTTCTCACATATGCCTCCTGTGATTTGTTATTCATAATTACTATTCTGCTGCCTTTCATGCAGTTGCTTTTAGCAGTTTGTGAGGTGCTTCTGTGCTGGGATGTTACCAGGTTTGTCTTTAGCTCATAAGGGATGCATTTTTAAAGCTGTTTTCTCTTCTGCCTTTGATTCCGACAGGAAAACAAACAGCTCTCTGGGTTTCAGAGTGTTTCCAGCCTCTCATATATGTGATGCTTTTTTCCTTTTGCCCCAGTGCCATGCTCCATCATTCTGACTTCTGGTCACCAACTCAGATGGGAGAGACCATCAGTTGCAGAGCCTAGCAGGGTGGGAAATACTTCAGAGTCATTTATCACAGTCCCAGGAGGGCCCTTTACATTCTTAGAGTGCCTATAAATGCATATAAAAGTGATTCATGTAAACAAAATGGGAAAAATAGCCATGAGTGTAGAATGGAAGAGCCCTGTGGATGACTGTCTTTGAGATCAGAGCATGTGTATAGTAAGCCAGGTTATATGGGAAGATCTTGGATTTTTTCTTGTATTTTGTCTACTTGCATGCATGTCACTGTCACGCCCAGGGAACATTGCCTTAAATAGTCGTAAACCGTCATTTCTGCTGTGGGAGCATTCAGCAGTATGGTCAGAAGATGAAGATGTGTATATTAGGATGTGCAAGAGATGCTGAGGATGCTACAGCACTGACTGCAAGGTGAGCAGGCCTGCCTGAGCTGGCTTTAGATTAGGCTGATGAGTGCCAGATTTGGCCTCCTTGCTGGGACAGGGCAGAGCTCCTGGTGGGTTAGGGGACAGCACACCGTACAAGCTGCATCCATTTTTGCTTTGACTATTCTGCTTAAGTCACACAGCTTCCGCAGTGTGGATGGAATGGCTGTTCCCGGAGTGCTTTAAGAACATGGATTCACGTGGCCAGAAAACTTACACTGTCTCCCCCTGGATAAGAAATGAAAGATCCAGCTTGCACTGTTTTCCTAGGATCTCAACAGCTCTGCCCACAGGAACGGCTGCTATATGCCTTCCATTTTAGTATATTTTCAAGGTGTGAAAGGGGGAGCATGTGGCAGAAACTCCCTCTGCTCTCCTTGTCACTGTGCAATTGGCTGCCTTGGGGAGGGAGGTTTATTGTGCATGTTAAGGGAGCGGGTTTCAGTGAAGTTTGTGGAGCTGTTTCTGTACAAAAATAACAAGAATTAGAATTTTTCTTGCGCCCCTTTCTGTCAGCTGCAATACCCATATGTCTGTTTATCCATCTCATTCGTATGACACATGCAGAAGGCAAATTCAGTTCTCTGAGCTTTTGAGGTGGGAGGTCTCTCATGTCAGAGTTGAATGGGATGAAGATAAACCAATGACAGAGTAGGAGAAGTGTGGATAAAAGCTGGGAAGACAACAAAGGTCATATGTAAGTTTGTATTTTGCCTTTAGACAGATAGAGGTAAATGTAAGATTTTATTGTCTTATTTTGCCATCTAACCTGAATGGCTTATTGGCAGAGGTGAGGGATTTGGGTGGCCTCTAGCCAGTCAGGTTTGCTGTGTTCAGCAAGCTTATGTGATCTGCACTAATTATGCTTAAGGTTCAAAGAATTATAATTATACCAACCAAAAAAGGCATTAAGGACAATGATGTTGATGGTTTTGATAATAATGTATTGGCCATTATTAAATTCTTTCATTGGGCTGGAGTACAGCACGTTTTTTCTGATCATGGTTCCAACTCCTGGATAGGTAATAAGGAAATTATTACTGTGGACGTTAAAGCTCATTAAATGTGACTCTATTAAAAATCAAGGTTATGCTGGACTTTAAATCTCTTTGAGCATAACCGCTGGAGGCTGCAGCACAACCTGGCAACTTGCCACGTAGTTCAGTGGTCCTTTCCTCTCATTTATGCCATAATAGTCTCTGTTAAAATGGGTACCAGGGCTATTGCAAAGGAGAGGTTTGAGCAATGTGAGCTGTAACCACATGTCGTCCTTTTTCAAAGTATGGATTTGCACGTGGGATTGTGCAGTATTAATGGGGCAGATCTGTGGCAGCTGCGTTATGGGAATGGGCTGTAACTTTATGGGTGGTTTGTTTCTCTCCCGGTGGCTGTGCGGGTCTGGGTTGTGTAAGAGCAGGGTGCACCAAGGTCAGGCTGCCATCTGGGGAGAGGCTCTGAGTACCCGTGTCTCTGAAACAGAGATGCAGATTGTAACAGCTTTGGAAAGGTGGCGCGGGGCATCACTGCCCAGATTTGGAATCTGTTCCAGTTCTGCATTTCTCTTTCCTGTATTCTTCACACCTTCCCGCCCTCCTTTTGTATTTCAGGCTGCATCTTCTGCTTTTTTTCCTCCAGCTACATAGCTTTTCCTGTTTATTTCTGTTTGTCTCCAGGCCATTTCTGTTTAGATCTTCCTTTTTTGTCTTGTATGGTCCTGGTAGACCTCTTGATTTTTCTTTTCTGGTTCTGCTAGAGATGGAGTTCGGTCTTCAGCAAGCAAATAGGTAGGTGGCAGCTAATGGGGAAGTGACAGAAGTAATGTCTTGTGTATTGTGGCAAAGCACAGGTAGAAATGAGAGTGCTTCAAGTGCTGATTATTTCCATTTGTGTTCTCATCTTAAAAGTAGTATATTTGAAGGAATGACCCGTGGAAGCTGGTTCCTGACTAAAGAATGCAGTAATGCGAATTTTCCATGAGCTCTCATGATTTATTGCTATCCTGTAGGTACAGTGGAGCGTTCTCTTCTTTCATGCAGCCTCTTCCTGTGAGAAAGAGGAAAAGTGCTTTTAATATTCTTTCTGTTGAGAGACAGGCTGGCACCCCTACCAGGAAGGAGGATAGGGAAATCAACTCTGGTTTCAACCGTCTATAGAGAATTTGGGAAGTGAACTACTTTCCTGAACATAATCCCAGCAAAAACGAAAGCTATTCATCCATCCCAATGGCATCAGTGTCCTTTTCCCCTTGCTAGGGAAAAGTAGGAAAAGGGAGTCCTTGAAGGACTGGGGAATCTCACTCTAAGGCAGGTGTTTGACCCTAACAGAGATGCTACATCTGGTGTTCAGCAGAGGCTGTCTCCAGCATCACTGCCATGTCAGGGCCTTGTAAAAATGTAATTAATTGGAATTAAATTGGGTAATAAATTAATATTAAAATAATCTAATCTTGTTGAAGTGACAAGCCAGAGATGGTAAAATTTGTCACTGTCCCAGCATGCTTGTGCTTCTGATGAATGTGTTTCTGAGTACAGAAGGCGACAAAAAAGGAGCAGATGGAATTTAGAAGTTGCCATTCTCCATCCACAGTTGGCTGAGCTGTTGGTGCTTGGAAGCCTTGGTGCTTCCTACCATCTGTGTACAGGAAATCTACACATGATGAAGGCTGTACCTGCAAATCAAACCTGAGTCCACCTG